CGTGTTCTCTCTCTCTCTCTCTCTCTCTCTCTCTCTCTCTCTCACAATGATGTACTCATTTCCCTCAAAATAATGGGTTCAAATTGCGGCAACTTAAGAAAAAAACACACATAACCCCCCCCCCGCCCCCCACCCCAACTCTTGATCTGGAAGAGAGGAGGGAGGAGAAAGGCTCAGTATGGGGAGAAAAACCCAGGGTCCCCCCTTTCCAGGCCCCCAGAATGGATTGTGGGGGAGCCCATGGGTTTCTCCAGGAGCTCCTTGCTGGACTTTTTTGGGTGGGTGGGGGGGCGCTGGCAGGCATCCCCCACCTGCCAGTCAACCTCTGGACAATGCACCCCGTTTCCAACACCCTGAACCCCTTCCCACAGCTCTCTCCCTGGAAGACTTTTCAAGTTTCTCCCCACCCTTTGCCCTCCCTGCTGCCCAGGTCCAGCCCGATGGGGAGGCAGGAGTGGCGGGCTGGGAGCCCTCTCACTGCTTTGCCTTCCTCATCTTGGGGGCCAGGGACCCCGTAGCTAGCTGGTGGGAAGAAAGGGAAGGAGGCCAAAGTTTGCTTCCTTGGATGATGGAGGAGAGAGCCGTGATGAAAAAACCAGATCTGAACAAAGACCACTACTCATCCTGTAAGCCCCTTCCCCCAAGGGCAGGCAGGAGGGGCTGCCTGGTAACCCGGACCCTAGGCAGCCTCATTCCCACCCAGAATTCCCAGCCCTCACCTCCTTTTATGCTATGTGGCATCTCAGCTGCCTGGGAAGTGGGTGTAGAGAGAGCATTCTGGGAGTGGAGGTGAGGAAAAGAGGGCGTTTGCAAGTGCTGACTGGGAGTCCCAGGCAAGGCTGCTGTCCAGAGCAGGTGCTCCAGGAGGGAGCTGGTGACATGTGTGTGTGTGTGTGTGTGTGTGTGTGTGTGTGTGTGTGTCTGTGTGTCTGTGTGTGTGTGTGTGTGTGTGTGTGAGAGAGAGAGAGAGAGAGAGAGAGAGAGACATTTGCCTCAGTGTGGGTGCTATTCCTGCCACCCTGGCCTGCTGTGTAGCTGGTGGTGAGCCAGGCTGCCCGGCTGGGTCATGGGTGCACCCTGTCCCTCCTGAAGGAGGGGCGGGGGGAGGCCTGGCAGGGAGGTGCTGGTCTCAGAAAGATGTGGGTGGTCTAAGTGCCTCCTGACCAGGACAGGGGATTTCAGTGAAGATTGGCCCTGGGCCTTTTGTCCACCTGTCTTCTTCCCCTCCCCCAGCATGAGTTTCCCAGGGGGCTTGGCCCTGCTCTAGGGTGTGGCCTTCACCTTCCTGCTGCCCAAACCAGAGACCGCTTCTCTGCAGGTAGGAGGGGCTGAGACAGGAAGCTGGGTTGGTGCTCCGGGCTCACTGAGTGCCTGCAGCCAGTCCCTGCAACCCTCTGCAAGTGGACTCTGTTTCTGAAGGGGCCATTCTAAGACCTGATCCTTCTCCCCACTGGTTTGAAAAGCCAGCTTTCTGGGCCAAGAAGAAAAGAAAACTGTGTTTTGTGGAAAAGCCATTAGATTGCTCACTGCTGCTGCACCCACCCCAGGCCTGCAGGACTCCCAGGCGTAGGCACTCTGAGGTCCGGAGTGGAGGAGGGCATATAGGACCCTCAGGCATCTCCAGGCCCAGACCCCCATGCTGCAGGCAGGCCTTTCCCAGCTGGGAGGGCTGCGGAGGTGACAGTGTTCTCACGGTGCAGGTGTGGGTGTGTGGGTATGAGGGTGTGCTGGTCAGAGATGCCCACCCTGGTGCCTGTGACCTGGGGGCTGAGTGGTGAGAGGAGGGTGAGAGCCGTGAGAGCGGCGGGGCCAGCAGCCCCTTTGGTCAGAGCCAAAGTTCCTTTCCCCTGAGAAGCCCCTTTCCAATGCTGGGCAAGGGGTTAACTGAGTGACCACAGAACATTGCAGAGGTCTGGGTGAGGCCAGTCAAGAAGGAAGGGATAGCTTGGTGCTAAGGAAACTTCAGCCCCAGGGCTTCTTTCTTGGAAAGGAGTTGGTTGGAAATGCCACTTGGGGGAGAGGTTTCCCTGGAGCTTTGGTTGGAAGCGTGGTGAAGCATGTTCCCAGGAGCGGGGCCTTCCGTGTGCCCCTCCCAAGGTTCCGAGTGAGGTCTGCAGGGGGGAGGCCTGGGGGCCCAGCCATCCTGCCCTCCAGTGCTGACATTCCCAGGGAGATGAGTGATGGGGAAAGCCACTTGGGGGCGGGGTCTGGTCAGAGGGCCAACTTTACATTGACAACTCCTGTCTGGCAGGTACTGGATGCAGCAGAGTGCTGTAGCTCTGTGTAGCTGCGTAGTCCCCCATGCCTCTAGAACAGGGGTTCTCAACCTGGGGGTCGAAGGACCCTTTCACAGGGGTCGCCTAAGACCATCGGAAAACACATATATAATTACATATTGTTTTTGTGATTAATCACTATGCTTTAATTATGTTCAATTTGTAACAATGAAAATACATCCTGCATATCAGATACTTACATTATGATTCATAACAGTAGCAAAATTACAGTTAAGAAGTAGCAACAAAAATAATTTTATGGTTGGGGGTCACCACAACATGAGGAACTGTCTTAAAGGGTTGCGGCATTAGGAAGGTTGAGAACCACTGCTCTAGAAGCTCTCGCACACCTCTTTTCTGGACGGATCCGAGTTTCCTTTTGATCTAGAACTTGGGCAGGCCACCAGGATACCTTCTGACCTTTATTTTCCTGGAATTCTTGGCCCTGAGTTGCCATGGGCTTCATTGCTTTGGGGGGTCATGACGCCAACTAGAGGAGTCAGGGACAGGTGGCAGTCGGGCAGTTTGGCGAAAGGACGCACCTGGCCACTGCTGAGTATCTCCCACCTGGTCCCACGTGCTCGCTGGCAGGATGGGGAAGCCCTTGCTTGGACACAGAGCCAGGATTCTGTAAGGATCTAGACCCCACTCATAGGGCAGGCAGGGTAAGTATCCTTATTGCCCCAATCCCCTGGGCCTGTGTCCTGATCAGCAAGCCTGTGAAGGTGCCCCTTTCTCAGTCTACTTCAGATACAGTCAGGGTGGGAGGGGAGGAACCTGCTGGGACGCTGGGTTGATGATCAAAGTCAGTGGAAGGCCAAGGGCTGGGTTGGTCTTAAGGCTCCAGCTGGCTGGCTGGCTGGCTAGGTGGGGGCAGCAGGTGCAAGTGAGGCTGGGTCAGCTCAGCTGCTCCTGGGTGGCCCAGATGCACCGAGTCCTGCTCAGGGATCTAGGAATTTGCTGAAGCCGGGAAATAAAGCAGATGCCCCACTATCCAGCCAACACTCCATGCTGGTTTCTTCTCTGGTCTGTCTCAGCCTGGCCACAGCCTTCAGCTCTCCCTGTCCTGAGGCAGAAGTGTGGTCCGTGGGCGGAGGAAATGTCTGCCACTCTTGCCCTAGAGGCCTTCTCCACGGCAGGCCCACCCTCTGCTCCTCTTCCTTGGCTGGTGGGTAGGCCTGGTCCCTCTAGGAGTGGGTTCCTCTCCCTTCCGTGGCTCTGTCGGGAGGAATGGGCTCTCAGTGCAGCGCTCTGCCTCTAGGTGTCGCTGTCTCCCTGCGGTAGCTGCCCCCTGAGCAGGGCCTCCTGGGGGGAAAGAGTGAGACCTGGCAGTAGACATGGGGGATTCTTCGGATATTGAGGAGGGGACTTCTGGCCTAGGATCATTTTATGTCTCGTGGCCGGATGGAGTGGAGGAAGACTCCCAGATCACGACTTGGATCTTGGAAAAGGCAGTCTTGGCTTTGGGCCACGTTATGGGCTTTTTCTGAAGCAGGATCTGGAGTGCGGGGCTTGGAGAGGACAGGGAGACCAGCAGGATGTCTGTGATAGATGGAACCATGTTAGGAGCTTGGTTTTGAAGGTCCCTGCCCTTCACCTCTGCATCTTCTTCCCTGACGCCCTCTCTCCCAAAGACTGTGGGTGTGGACCCTCTGGGCTGTGGACAGAAGCGGGGCCTCAGCTTCCTCCTGTTCACTTTTGCAGAAGCCGGGCTCCATGTGTGAGACGAGGGCCGAGGGGGACACACTTCCCCTTTTGCAATTGGCTGATCATTTGGGTTTTGGAAAGAAAGGAAAGACAGGGGGAGAGGGTTTCAGAGGAGGGTGGGAGGAAAGAAAAAGAAATAGGAGAGAGAGAGAGGAAATGATTTGCTTCGAGCATTTTTTGGGAGGGGCTGGGGTGTAGATTGTCCTGGGGAGGCACCATTTCGGGTCTTGGCAGCTGTGAAGGGGCCTGGGCGAGTGGAGGCTGGGCCGGGAAGGGGTAGCTCTTTCCTCGGACGCACCCCAGAGCACAGGATCAGGCCTGTCTCCCATTCTCTCTCTTTCTTTCTAAAATGCTTTTTTTTTTTTTTAAATTTTCAATTACAGAATTCAGAATGAATAGGCTAGGGGTCCAAGAAGCCTTTTCAGCCTGTGTGTGACCTTCAGTTGTCATCTCCCTTCTCTGGGCCTCAGTTTCCCCAGGGTAAAATCTGGGGGCTGCACTCTGTGGTGTCAGAGGTCCTAACAGGCTATGAAAGTTAAATTGCTTTCTGCTGCTTACACGGCGTAACCAGTGCTGTGGTGGGCCTCTGGCTGGAACTGAAGCTGACAGGAGGCCTGGGGGTTACGAATGTGATCCCCCTCTGCTCACCCCAGCCGGCCCTGCAGCCCCAGCTCTCTGCTGAGGCTCTTACATTGGCCGTCTGGCATGGGCCTTGCTCGAGGGCCTTCTGGCTGGCCCAGTGCTGAGGGTGACAGGGTGGAGCCAGCTGAGGATCTGATAGAGCCAGGGCAGAGCGCAGCTGCGTTCTCCGTGGGGTTTGAGGAGGAAGGTTGGTGTCTTAGGACCAGCAGCCCCTCCTCTGACCTGCTCTGTTGGGAGGTGGCACTGAGTGGGCCTTGATGTGCTCTGGAGTAAACGGGTGTGATTTCCAGAGGGGCCTCACCGACCCTCAGCCCTGCGTCTTGTGTGGGAGACTGTGGTGGCCTCACTCATGCTTGTCTTCCCTCCCCACCACCCAGACGAGACCCTCCGCTCTTTGGCCAGCCCTTCCTCCCTGCAGGGCCCCGAGCTGCACGGCTGGCGCCCCCCAGTGGACTGTGTCCGGGCCAATGAGCTGTGTGCCGCTGAATCCAACTGCAGCTCCCGCTACCGCACGCTTCGGCAGTGCCTGGCGGGCAGGGACCGCAACACCATGCTGGCCAACAAGGAGTGCCAGGCGGCCCTGGAGGTCCTGCAGGAGAGCCCGCTGTATGACTGCCGCTGCAAGCGGGGCATGAAGAAGGAGCTGCAGTGCCTGCAGATCTACTGGAGCATCCACCTGGGGCTGACTGAGGGTAAGCCGGGGGGGTGGGTGGTGGTGGTGGTGAGGGGTGTGGGGGCCCAGGTTCAGGGGCAGGACGGGGTAGTGGAGTGAACTGGCCGGCTCCTTAGCCCTCCTTGCTGGGGGAAACAAGAACCCAGAAGTAGCCTCCTGACCTGGGAGGGAGCTGAGGAGGAGAGGAGGCAGGGTGGTGGGAGGAGAACGAGGCTGGAGCAGGGGTGAAGGGACGGGGAACACACCAGGGACAGAAGGACCTATGACCGTGTGAAGGGGTCACAGGAAAAGGTGAGGTAAGAGTCCCAGACAATGAAGAAGTGAGAACAGGATAGAGAGACGGACCGGCCCTGTGCTTGCAGAGCTGAGCTGCCAGCACACCAGCTCCTGCCACTCCCGCTGCCTGGGCACCCAGTGCGGGCTGCCCCTTCCCGCTCTTCCTGCTCCCAGGAGGCCCATCTTCAGTGGCTCCTGACCCCGTGGCTGGCCTAGGCACCTTCTGCAGGGCTTGGAGCAGTGTGAGGGCAGCAGGTCCATATTCCTCAGTAGGCCTGCCCCCAAGTCCCCAGGTAGAACCTGTAAACTTCCCTTTCCCCCCCCCCCCCAGCCAAAGACTACCTCCCCCATGTCCTCCCCCTGCAGACTGAAGTGAGGCGATTTGCATATATTGTAGGAGGGTGGCCACCTGGGTCAGACGTTCATTTATTAATTCAACAACTGTTTACTGAGAGTTTACCACCTGGTAGGCGTTGTGGAAAGAGTAGGGAACAAGCTGGGGCAGCCTCTGCCTTCGTGGAGCTCATAGTTGAGGGGTGCAGACAAGTGAGGGCTTTCTGTCATTTGGGGGTGTGAGTGCTGTGGGAAGCACTGGGCGCTGTGGGAGCACTGAGGAGGGGCAGCTAACCCCTTGCCACAAAATCTTGAGAGCCTTCCTGGAGGAGGCAGCCTCGCAGCTGAGACTAAAGAGTGAGCTGCAGTTACAGAATGAAGAGCTACGGGGAGAGTGTGGGAGGTGCAGGGAGGGCTGGGCAAAGGCGGCGTGGGAGGGAGTGGAACCGCTTATGGACCCACAGGTGACAGTATGCAGAGGGGCCGCGGGAAGTGGGTGGGGTGAGGAGAGGTGGAGGGTACCGTTCTGCTGGGCAGCAGGGCGCCTGGGCAGTGTTGGTGAGGCCATCCTTGCGCTCTGCTTCAGGGACGCTCATGTGTTTTCATGAAGAGCGCAGACCGAGAGCCTGGAAGGCGCCGTGTGACACAGGCCCGGGATCATGGTGGCCGAACGAGGACAGGGCAGGAAAGGAGGAGCTAAGAGCGGTTCAGGAGGTAGAACCCACAGGGGTTGGTGAAGGGAGCGAAGAGTCAAGGAGGCTGCCCAGTTTCTGTTTTGGGAGACTGGTGGGTGGTGGGTCCGGTGGCAAGAAACAGCAAAGGTGTTGAGTGGGGGGAGGGCAGGGAGATGATGAGTATTTGGGGGCATGTGCCTCTCCTTGGCCATGCCCTGTGGACAGCTGGGTGTGCAGGGCCGGAGCTCAGGTGGCAGAGATTTTGGAATCGCCATCAGCCTGTAGGTGGGAACCGGGCAAGGGAGTGGGTGCCATCTCCATGGGAGGACCAGCAACATGTAAAGATGTGCAGGGAGGGAGGGGGCCAGCGAAGGTGACGGAGGAGGAGGCTGGGGGAGAGGCGAGGGGCAGCAGAAGACCAGGGAGGAGCTTGCTCTTGGAAGGAGGAGTGCGCCAGCCCCCAGCATGTTAGGTCCAGCAGAAGAGGGTGGGACAGGGTCCTGGGGCCCTGGGGTGAGCTTCTTAGGTGGCTGCTGGGAGCAGAAGCCTGGTTAGGGGTGAGTGGGAGCTGGGGGGTTACAGACGATATATGTGGACAGCAGCTCCTAGAATCTTGGTGTGAAGAGGAGAGAAGAACAAAGGACGACATATTCTTTAAGAAGCAAGAAGAGTGGGCAGTTTAAATTCTAAGGCAGGACAGTGTGATGGAGATGCTGAGGTGAAGGGGAGAGGGGTGCTCTGTGGACAGTGCCTGGGAGAGGGGAGGGGCGGGTCCAGGGCCTGGGAGGGGTTAGCCTTAGGTCAGAGGAGCAATCCCACCTCCAGGTGCTGGAGGGAAGGAGGAAACAGATCAGGTGTGGAGGCCGGATAGCGAGGGGTTCCTGACCAGTGGCCAAGATAGTTCAACTCTGCCCCGAATATAGCAGTAAGCTGTGCATATAATTATTAATAGCACCACCACCATTAATAACAGAGTGATTCCTCGTGAATCAGGTGGCCATTCCTCCCATTTCTAGCAGCCTCGAGTTCTAGAACTAGAAGTGGGGCCCACGCACTGTGAGACCGGAGCTGCCTGTGCCCCAGGCTGACTGTAGCGCACAGAAGACCAAGGTCCCTGATTCAGTGAGCTGGGTCCTTTAGCTTCTTGGTTTATTTCCAGCAGCCTTCCATTTCAACCCCAGGGAGACTGGCAGCAGGTCGGGTGGGGGCTGCAGAATGCACGGGGGAGGGGACAGAACTGCCAGCAGAAGAGCCAGGTGGGCTGTCTGAGACCTTCCCAGCGAGGGGCACCCTCTGGGGACTTCTGATTGGAGCTGGCCCCGAGGTGTCTGGAGGTAACAATAAGCATTCCGTATGTTTATGCTGCGGACTGCCCTGTGGTCTGCCAGGTCCTTTTCACCCAGGAATGTCTGGCTGGAGACAGCTCGCTTCCAAATCTTGAGCTGCTGTTGGTTTATTTACTCAACGAACATCTGTTAAGCCCCTACTGTGTGCTTCAGAGGGTGACAGAAGCCACAATCAGTCCCTATGCCTGGTCCCTATGCCAGCCAGCCAGCATAAGGGCTGGGAGACCCTTCCCCTGGGCCCCATGCTTATCTCATTCCTCAGAACCCAGCCCCCTCCAGCACCCCCACCCCCCAGGATTCTACAATCTCCTCCCCCTGGGTCTTAGAACCCAGAGGTAGTTTCTGCTAAGAGCTGAGCATGGGAAGCCTGGAGGCCTTTTAAGGGCAGGCACTGTTCCTGTGAGTTAGAGGATCTATGTGACAGTTAATTATTCATGGTGTGGGGGAAGTGGTCCCCTGAGCACCTCCTCCCTGTTCCTAATAACATTGAGTAACCTGGCTTGGTCCCTGGGGTGGGTGGGCGGATGGGGAGAGGAGAGGCCTGTGCAGGTCTGGACTTTGGTTCTTGTCTTCTCCTTGGCCCCAGCTGGGGGTGAGAGTTCCCTGGGGGTCCCTCCTACTCCCTCTGCCTGAGGCCCAGGTCCTCAGCCAGCCAGCGGTGGTGGCAGGAATGTGGCCTCTACTGAGCTCCTAGAGCGGGGGTGGGGAACCTCTTTCCTGCCAAGGGCCATTTGGGTATTTATAACATCATTCGCAGGCCATGCAAAATTATCAGCTTACAAATTAGCCTGCTATATTTGGTCAAACATTTAATCAGCTCACCCCTAATGCCTTGGTGAGTTGGTTGAATGTTTAAAACCAGCGCCAGACCAAATGGTTTCTCGGGTCTTATACGGCCCCTGTGCTGGACGTTCCCCACCCCTGTCTAGAGAGTTCCAACCGCAAGGGATATTCAGCCCCACAACCATTTTGGTGGGGAAGCTGATGTGCAGGGAGGAGAGGTGGTACCCAGGGCACACAGCAATTAGAGGAGGGGCAGGCCTGACTCCTTATCCAGCTCCTTTCCAGTGCCCTGGGGAGGTCCTGTGGCCTTGGGCCCGTCCTCCCTTCCACCACCACCACCACCGCCGCCACCACCGCTGGTATTTACAGGGCGGAACTGTTGCTGTTGGACGTCTTGCCCTTTTCAAAGGTGACAATGAAGTTCAGGGCCACCCTGGTCCTTCAGACGTGAGCATCAGAGACCTCTCCCAGGTCCTCCCAGGTCGTGCACACGGAGGCGCAACCAGCCCCCTTTTCTGGAGTCTGCAGTATAGCAGACCGAATGTCCTGATTTGGCTCCGGTCTGGCTGCCAGGGATGCTCAAGTAGCCAGGCCTTGGGTTTCCACCGGTGAATTCTGTTGCCCTGAGAAGAATGGACTCCTCCCAGCCAGTCCTGGGAATAGGCCGTCCCTCACGCCCCGCCCCCCGCCCCACCCACACACACCCTCCCAGCCAATCATCTGGCTGAGCTGTGCCCAGGTGTGGTGCTGCACCCCATGCAGCAGTGAAGGACAGGCCCTGCTCTGGGGGAGCAGGCCAGCTGGCAGGAGACGGATCCTGTTTAAGAACAGCTTGGTTTCAATAACACTTTATTTTTGGAGACAGCATTCATAATGATTAAATACTTGGACCCTGTCACCAACTGCTTGGGTTTGAAGTTTGACTTTCCCACTTACCAGCTGTGTGGCCTTGGGCAAGTTACTTAACAGCTCTGTGCCGGGTTCCTTATCAGTAAAATAGGGAGACGGATGGTGCCTACCCCATAGATAAATTTAAGAGGATTAAATGAGTTAGTACATCCACTGTCAGTAGGATTGGCCCCTGGAAAGCACAGGATAACATTAACGTCATTTTTATTACAAAATACTTCCTAAGCTCTTACGTTATTTGGCCTCAACAACTAGCGCTGGCTGGCAACCCTCCCACAGGGAGTTTCTCCAGGGCTGGTGGGTAGGGTGGAGGCTCCAGGGGGAAGGTGGGGCTGGAGACAGGCCTGAAGGGACAAGTAACGTTTGGGTGTTGCAGGGCCTGAGGGGTGCTCCCATGAGGTAAAGTGAAGGGTGGGGCCATTTCTCTGGGGGAATGCACTTCCCGTGTTGTCTGTGGTGGGTCCCCTTTTCTGGAGTCTGCAGTACAGCAGACAGGAGGCTTTGTTCCCGTACCAGCAGGGGGCTGGTTACGCCTCTAGGGTGACCTCATGGGCTGGCTGACCGAGCCCCTCACTGGGGATTCCCACGTCTGGATGGTAGGCACCTTCCTGCAGGAGGCCCCCATGGACGCCGCCCACCTGGGGTCCCCTTAGGAAGGAGGAGCCTGTCCATAGCCCAGGGCCCTGGGTGGGTGGGAGTTCACTGTGTGAGGCTGTGGGTCATCACCATCTCCCTGGCCCTCCACTCACAGGAACAGCCCGAGTGATTATTCATTGATTTCTTCTCACGGTAACATCTCAAGAGGATATTTCCTTCCCGTCAAGGCGGTGGCAGAGGGGGCAGGAGTCTGATGACGTGGTCGGGGGTCTCTAGGGCAGCCCGGTGCCACTTATCTCCTGTCACTCCCTTGCCTTGCCTTTCGCTGAGCTTCTAACGCACCCGAAGGTCTGAGAAGCCAGCAGGTGGTGGGCACATATGTAGGGAGTCGAGAAGGGGGTCAGGCCAAGAGGAGCTGGGGTCAGGCCTCCATTCAGCAGACCTTGGGCCCTCCAGCCAGATTCTCCCGGCGTCATGGTGGGAAGCAGAGGTGCGATGGGAGAGGACGCTGGTGGGAGGGCTGGGAGATGGCAGGCCAGCTGCTGCCGCGAGGAGCTGTGTGATCGCAGGCAGGTTGCTTCACCTCTCTGGGCCACCTCCACGTCCTGAAATGAGGACGTCATACTGAATGGTGGGACCTGGCCTTCCCCAGGCTGTCACGGTTCCACCTCCCCAGGCCTTCTTTCCAGAGCATGCAGCAGTCCTTAGAGGAGGGCAGGCCATGCCGGGGCACGAGGGAGAGTTAGGCAGTCTGACCTGCTGGGGGACGTCCACTCCAGCTGGAGGAGATAATTCGTCCCTGTGACACTCCAACTCTTCACTCAGGACCTCCCCTTCGCTTTCGGAGGGGCCCCTGGGCCTGACGATGTTCTCTTTTCCAGGGGAGGAGTTTTACGAAGCCTCGCCCTACGAGCAGGTGACCTCCCGCCTCTCTGACATCTTCAGGCTCGCGTCCATCTTCTCAGGTAAGTGGGCTGGTGCTGGGGCCTCCCGGTTCTCGTGTGGTCCAGGTGCGGCAGGTGGAGCCCTGGGCTGGCTCAGGGTCCTGGCCTGTAGCGCCAGCAAGCCCCTGACCGGCTCTGAGCATCAGATAGATCCTCATCTGTCAAAGGAGGCAGCACGCCCGCCCCAGGTTCTGCATGGAGTAAAGCGTTTATGGGCACTGCCTTGCTCGAGCCGGCCAGGCAGCAGGCCTCCAATATGAAACCTGCTGTCACTCTTCTCTTCGTCACCTGTCTTGCCCGATGGGTCCCTCTTGCAGTTCCCCTGCTCTTCTGTTCTAGTTGTTCAAGCTCTTTGTGCCTCAGTCTCCTCAGCTGTGCAGTGGGGAGCATACTACCTTGGAGATGGCTGCGAGGTCTGAAGGAGCCAGTGGTTGTTAAGGGCTCAGCGTGCTGCTGGGTGAGCCTTCAGGAAGCGTGGGCTGTGGTTGTTGGTGTTCATGTCACTGCTGTCCATTCGGCTGTGGGTCCCCCCCCCCCCCCCCCCCCCGCAGGGCTCCGCTCCTTGCACCCCACTGAGGGGCCTCTGAGGAAGGGCTCTGAGCCCCAGGGAGGGAGAAGGACCAGGTTAAACTCCAGCTTTGCTCCCACATAGTGAGCTCCCACCCACTCAGGTCCACGTGTAGGAACCTGATAAGCTTTCTGGTCCTTTCTTCCTGACCTTGTTGTTCCTTCTGCCATTTGGGGGCCCAGTGGGCCCAGGGCAGTCTGCCCCTGCTTGGGCACCGGGGGGTGGCTTCCGGTCTTGGAGCTGCTCTGTGGGGCTGGGGTGAACTCTCCTGGAGTCACCTGGTGCTAGAAGGTGGCAGGGTGGGCTTGTTCCCTGGGATCCTGTGCCCGGGCCCCTGTTTTCCAGCTGGTTTCGAGGCAGGATTTGAAGCCTTCTGGGCTGTCCTTGCTCTAAGCCAGGGTTCCTCACCAGCACCACTGCTGGTACTTGGGCCTGGGTAGATCTTGTGGGAGGAACCCACCCTGTGCATTTAGGATGTTGAGCAGCGTCCCTGGCCTCTGCCAAGGGATGCCAGTAGCACCCCCTCCCCAAGTGTGAGAACCCCAAATATCTCCAGACATGGCCTGGGACACATTTGCTGCCAGTTGAGAAGCAGTGCTCTAAACTGTGACACAAAAGACCTGTGAGCCCCCAAGCCCTTCTGAATGGAGAATTCTCTAGGACAGTGCTGCTCAAACGTTTCCCCATTATTACCCCCTAAGGAGAAAAATTAATCCTCTCTAAATGGGGAAATACTTAGTCTGTTTGGGCTGCCATAACAGAATAGCATAGACTGAGCGGCTTAAACAATATGAATGTATTATCTTACAGCGCTGGAGGCTGGAAGGTCAAGATCAAGGTTGGGCAGGGCTTGGTTTTTGGTGAGAGCTCTCTCTCTGACTTACGATGGCCACCTTCTCACTGTGTCCTCACAGGGTGGGGTGGGACAGGAGAGTAGTTGGGGGTGAGTGGGAAAGAGAGAGAGAGAGAGATCTCTTGTTATAAGGCCACAGTCCTCTCAGATTAGAACCCCACCCTTATAACCTCACTCAACCTTAACTACCTCCTAAAAGCCTTCTCTCCAAGCACAGTCACACTGGGGGGGGGGGGGGGTCACTGCTCTTTGAGGGGCACAGTTTAGTCCATAGCAAGTGCCAAGAAATAAAGTGTTGTCAGACAGGGTTGAGTTTCGGGGGCCACAAACCATGGTAATGTCTACTTTGTTTTTGCCAAACCAAGAACCAATTTTTGTTTCCGTGAGGGTGACTCCATCCTCTCCTGTTGAGAATGCATGTTTCAGGGATTGAGACGGGACATTATGCATGTGCCTGGTGAGAGAAACCCTGGACACCCCTGAGAAGGGAGACACTGGCTAAAGGGTGACCATTTGGACATGCCCCAGGGCCTAGGGGTGGCGAATGGCACGGAGGCTGCAAAGATGGTCTGTGGGTTGAGCTCCCTGGCCGGGCTGTCACCATCAAAGCCCCCAGTGGGGTAAGAGCAGAGGTGTGGGGCTCAGCAGCTTGTCGTCTGGCTTGCCTGTGGGCACTGTGGTCAAGCTATAGGCCTTGCCCATCCGACAGGGCTGCCCTGGGTGAGGGGTTGACTGAGGTCTCTCCCAGCACACATTCTGCTTCTTACATTTTCTGGTTCGTTCTGGGTAGAAATCCACCCTGGGCCACTCCTGTGAGACAGTGCTCGGGGGCACAGGTGCAGGTGGAAGATGTCGTTGGCATGTGGATGCTCTGGTGGGGATGCCCTGGCGGCTCTGGCATACCCCTTCCCCACCCTACAGTAGCTCAGGTACCAGCTGAGTTCTGCACGTGGGTGGGAGCCATTGGGTCTAACTCCAGTAAAGAAGCAGCTTTGGCTTACTCCCTGAGGGTTGAAGGTCAGACGTCCTCATTTCAGACCGGCCCCTGCTGCTCCCCGGGCTCACATTAAGTATCTTCTTAGCAGAAAATCTTTACGTAATGGACTTGACACTCTGTGGGACAAGGATGTTGACAAGATAAATGAGGAAATGACTAGGTCTGCGGCTCAATGAATCAGCTGCCTTCACCCACTGCCCTGGATGCCTGGGCCCTGGGGACCGCTCCCCGCAGTGAGGGAAGGCTTCAGGGTCTGGAACAGCTCCCTCCTCATCACCCCCAGGGACTCTGCTCCACCCACTGCAGCCCCAGAGCTGGTGCATGGGCGGCTCTGTGTGGGGCGAGGTGAGGAGGCCCTGGCCTGGCCAGCCCGAAACCAAGTGGGCCGTGGTGGGCTCAGCAGAGAGAAGGCTGGGTGGGGAGCGGGGAGGCCCAGGGTCCAGGGCATTCCCTGCCACAAGTCAGCGGAAGGGCTTGGGCAGGTCATTTCTGCTCCAGACCTTGCATTTTCTTTCTGAAGAAAGGAGGCGTGAACTTGAAGTAGTGCTCCCCAACCTTTCCCCATCGGGGTGCTCAGACCATGGCAGTATTGTTGGCACACTCGGATGAGCAGAGCAGCTCGGAGCTCAGCAATTGCAAGCCCCTGCCAGGCTGCCCTGCCAGCAGAGGGGTCTGTATCTGGGCACACATTCACCTGCCTGTAGCTCGCTGGTGGGGAGGCCTGGCCTGGTGATCCAAGATGTTGCACGGATGCTTTGGGACGATAAGGCTACTGCATTAGGGCTGTGTGGAGCCCCTCCCACTTCCACACATGCGCAGTTGGCTGTATGCTGCCCCTTGTCTTGGTGGCTCTCCTCCAGGCCCCACTGCCCCCCCCCCCCCCCCCGGGGCCCCCGGG